CTATTTTGTAATAGCAATGGATAATGGCCTGTAGTCCTTTGTCACTGAAAAATACATGCTTTCAGCTGAAAAGATGCATTTTTCTTATCCTTGGTCTCTCTTCCCAGCCTCTTTGAAATCTGAGAAATGATGCAGCAGATGCTGAACTGCAAACTAGAAGACATATATGATTTAAGTGTCAGTTGCCTGGTATTTTTTATGCCTGGTTCTTTTAGTTCACTATGACAGAAGACTGCAGCTGCACAAATTAAAATAGAAATCTTAAAAAGATTACAATTTTTATTTCTTTTTTTTCCCCAGCTATTTTTAAAATTTTCAAAACTATGTATTCTTTGTAAAATAAAATCAATATTTATCTTATTATACTTTTTTACATGCTAATTTTATTGTTTCCAGGGGCAACTACAGAAGAAACAAACCAGTGTGTTCTATGTTTATTTTCTATTTATTATTGTGTTGTGGGCAAAATGTTTGGGAGGATAAACTCATCATCATATTTTTGCTCTGTTAAATTGGCCCATTCTTGATGCCATTCACAACAGCCTCAACAGATTCCAGGGAGACAAAGGGGCTGGTGGGCTACATTCTACCTTTTTTCCAAATGGGAATTTGGGAATGAGGTGGGGTTTTATAGTTGATGACATCACCTATATACCAGCAGAATGATCATATGTGTTGTTTAACCAAGGGCCATTAGCTATTGCTTGGGAATGTTTTAAATATTAATATCCTGGACACCACTGCTGTGTGGGTTTTCTTGAAACTCACCCTTCTATGAGGAATAATATATAAAGGAGTCAAAATAAATAATTTGGCTATGCTACAGCTAAACAGTGTTTGTTGTATAAGGGAAGCTCCCTGTATTGTTATGAACTTTGATGATTGCATTTCCTTTTAATCTGTTCTCCTAAAACTGCTACAATCACTACACCAATTTGGTTTCAGGGTCACGACTCAGTCCTATAGCTCATAAGAGAGAGTCCAAGGAATGATGATTTATAAAGCTGCAAATTCATTTGAATGTTTACCAAAAGATACTTTGTAGCCTTTGCACTTGCTGCTTTCCAACTTCAGATTCTGTTTTAGGGTACAATCCAACCTGAATGCATTAAGGTCAGACTATTTTTTCCCACTTAATTCACCTTTTCAAATTTTGAGCAGACTCCACACCAGAAATGAGCAGCCCAGCAGTATATCTTACTAATATCAGAAAAGGCAATGCCTGAAGTGGTTGCAAAGATCGATGAGGGAGCTATGGAGAGATGACTGACATAAACATTTCAGCTATGGAAAGGAATGAAGCTATTGAAGAGGAAAAAAATCAGAATAAGGAACCAGAGACCTCTAAAGCAAAAGGTCTGGCTCCATTTCTATTGAAGATACATTGAAGTCATCATGATTTTTCTGTAGGCTACAAAGAAGGCTTAGGTTTCAGTTTGTTGCTTTGTTAATAAAAATCACTTCTCCACTTATAAATAATCAAATGTTTTAAGAAAGGTGAAATATTTTGCAATATTTTGGTGCTCTCTTGAGGCATTCTCACATCCTCCATGTGTACATTGATTTTTCCCTCCTTTTTTCTACCCATCACCTGATAGTTTTATCCATTGGATGGATTAGAGATTATGTTACTGTGATGGTTAATCACTTGTGAAGGATAATAATATCACAGTGGAGCTGGATGAGTTAAATTTAACGGGTGTGTAGCTGACAAGGCATGTACAGGATAAGCACTTTTATTACATATTTCTCAGTGCCACTCAGTTCACAGTGTGCTCCACAAACATTGGCGAGGAAATATGTCATGTGCCAGGGAATGAGTAAGAGAGATTTGTGTGAAATATGGATGCCAAGAATGTCTAATTATAGATCATGAAAGTCCAAACAATAACCAATAACAAAACCCAACAGAATCATTCCCTCAAACCAAAGGTGGATTAATGATTTTTGCAGACAACCGACATAGTCACCGAAATTCCTATGTGGTCGAGAACCCATGGGTAAAGAAGTGGCCTAGATCTGTGGTAAAGAGGTTCTTGTCATGACAGAATGCAGGATGAAATCATCTTTACTTGTGCAAAAGGCACTCCAGCATCTTAAATAGAAAACCCTGTGTTAAGCTATGTTGGAATCGGGGAAGGAGCAGCTTTTTCCCAACTAGAAAAAATAATTCTGACTTGTACTTCCAACATTCAAAATAAGGCAGCAGATGGAGTTGCTAGGAGACAGAAGGCAAAGAACAAGAGCATGAATGTGCTCTAGTGTCTCTACACAATAGCAAAGAGTATATGAAATTAGCTGGAGCTTTAGATCTCACCATCAGCTATGACTGTTACAAGTGATGAAATGCAGTCTTTGTGCTAACCAGAATGATTAATTTGAACAATTTTAATAAGGAGCTCTATGACAATTGTATTATGTGATATTTAATGCTGCTCTGCAGGCAATCCTTGTAATGACAAAATTACAGTATAATTCAGATAGGAGAGATCTTGGGAGGTCTAGCCCAACCTCCTGCTGAAATCATGACCGGCTCTGTGGTCAGACCAGGATGCTCAGGGATTTATCCAGTCATCTGTTCCATGAATGGAGATGGTGTAACCTCTCAGCACAACCTGCTCCTCCTGACAGCGCTCATGGGAATAAAGGTTTTCCTCATCTCCTCTCTGAACCACTCTTGCATTTATTTGTGCCTGCTGCCTCTCAGCCTCACACCTCTTCCTCGCTGTGGCTCCATCTCCTTACTGAGATCCCAGCAGGTACTGGGGTCTTCTGTCATGTCCCTCCAAAGCCATCTCTTCTCCTGACTGAGCAAGCCCCAGTCTCACAGCCTAGCTTCATGGGACAAATGGTCCAGCCACAATCATCCTGGCTGCCTCTGCTGAACTCATCCCTGTTTATTGCTGCTTCCTGTACTCACAGGAGCCTAAAACTGGACACTATTATTCATATGACCTAAGAAATGCTGGCTTTTCTCCTGTTAATGCGGTTCTGGATGATATCAGCCATCTTCGGCATCTTTTGCCAAGGTGCACTGCTGGCTCGTGTGTGGCTCATGCCTAATTTTGAATCCACCAGCACAGGAGGTCAGCAGGAGCTTGCTGCCACTCCAGGGATTTCTGTTGACTGGCCAATATAAGTGCAAGGTGATAGTGCAAGGTGGAAAGAGTAATAGGGTCATAGGCAGTGTTGATGAAATGTGAAGTGAAAGTAAAGCCTGGCTGAGATGTTGTCTTGGGAAAGATGAAATGGATGAAGAATGAAAGAAGTGTCAGTAGGCTTTGATTATAGCACATTTAGACTAAGAATGATTTTGTAACAAATAATTTTCTTTTAGATGCATCTCACGTAATTTGACCACCACTGGATAAGAAACCATCATGAAAAGGGCTTTGTTAAATAGATTAGAGAACAAGTTTAGAATATAGATATTAAAATATCCATTGAATGCTTAAGTTCTTCATATACTTTTTATGATAATTCTATTTGGTGAAAAAAAAATCTATCCAGTTTTAGGAAAATACTTAATTTAATCATAAATATAAGAAGAAAAGAGTTTATCAGTTATAGTATTATGAGGTCATCAGATTTTGAGAGAGATGTTCTTGTGTGAATTTTAATAAACTACTTGAATAACTATCAATTCTGTAGAACAAAGAAATATGGTGAGCAATAGCTAAGTCAGTACTTAATTGGTTCCATGAGTGGAGAAAAATTGCCAAAGAAAAAAGTGTGCTGGGAAAAATCCACTGGGTAAAAGTATAAAGTAGTATTGTTCTTATGTGAATTTTAATAAACTACTTGAATAACTATCAATTATTAATTTAAATATTTATTCCAAGAGCAATTTTCAATAAATTGTCACTTTATTTGAATAATAACTAATAAAACTACAAAGTGCCACTTTTGAGCAATTTATTGCATGTTGATGATGTAGAACTCGGCTTGTCCTGTGTAGAGGTCAGAGTTACCATTCTAATCATAGTTGTTAATGATCAAAGAAAATCCCCAAGCCTTGTTTGTGTTCTTATGCAATAAGGTTGCAGTTAATCACAGAGCTGACATAAAGAAAAGAAAAAAAAAACCACCAAAAACCCAAATAAAAATAAAAGTCAATAAAAATAACAAAATTGTTTATAGATCCTTGAAAATGCAGATAATAAGCTATCTGGACAGAGCCACAAGAAGGACAGAAAATAGAAACACATTGGGGTGAAAGTGGACAATGAATCTGGGAGGAGTCACCAAACAAGAAAAAGTAGGGTGTGCATGCAGGAGTCTGTACACAGCACGAAGCCCCAGGGCAATGCTGGTTAACCAAACCTGATCTACAGCATTCAGCACTGGCTCTATCAGTGGTTAAAATAAAAACAAACAACAACCCCCCCAAAAATAGGCAAGTAAGTAAAGTAAGTAGGGCATTCAGTGCATGACTGGCTGGTACTAGTTCTCAAGCTGAGACTTAGCAGGAAATGAGCTTCAAATAAGCTTCAGTAGTTGGCATAACCAGACTTTTCTCAGTTGCAACTTTGCTGGGTTTGGCTTGCACGCAACCTCTGTCTGAAAGGATTCAGCAGGGAAAGGATGATTGTGTCTGTGCTGGTCCCACCACCTGCTCTAAGGATGGATTCCCACTTCTTCAATCAGTGAATTGTGTTCTACAACTTGCTGCACGCCCCCTCGAGCAGCCTGGCCCTATCTATAGCACCAGGATATGACAGATGCAGCAGCTATCCCTTGCAGCCACTTACTCCCAGGCATCTTAAACGCTGGTGTATTTGTGCAGGATGCCAAGGGTGTGCTTGCATAAGGGGTTATGTATTATGACAGCTCACTGCCTGCTAGGAAGGGGTTTGAAGGCTGGGCCAGGTGGAGGTGGTGGGAGCTGGCTTGCTTCCACCCATAGTGCTTATTGGAGCAGGCCCTGAGATGGTTTTATCATTGAGTCATTTCCAGGTTTTAGCTGGGTGGATACCAAGTTGCTCCATGAAGGATCCGGCATGTGCACGTGGGCAATAGGAGCAGGCCCAACTGACAGCTCAGATGTACCCAGAACTCATGTTTGCCAGGTACTTTAACTCAGTCTTACCACCTGGCAAGCCTTCAAAGTGAAAATAGGCACATCTCATCTAGGAAAGCAAATGTTCACAGTCTTCACTGCAGTATGGAAACCTTCTTTCTGCTAATTTTCAAGTCTCCACATCCAGAGTACTATAAATATTTACAATATTTTCCCATGTGCCTATAGAATGTAAATACCAAACTTGTAGAGAAATCATTAAGATTCCGACCCAGGACATGCCTTTTTAATGCCAGTATAAAAATAAATAGCTGGTAATATCCCTGATCTTATTATCCAGGGACATTGTATCTGTGCTTTAAAAGGCAGAAATTCTAGGATGAAATTAGATAAGAAAAAACATTAACTGAGTGATGAGAACACTTTGTGTTGTCTGCATGCTTTGTGAATGGAACAAGTTCCCTAAGTGCTCAACAGAAGGTTCACCAAATCAGATTTGAGGGGAGGAACAAGGCTCTGCACTTTCTTTGTGTCCTGGCTGAAGGAAAGGTAGGAGGGAGCAGAAAGAAAAGGGTGGACAAAAACTTCCCTCCTTGCACTTGAACATTGGTTCAAGAGCTCTTTGATGCCTTTGCAGCCATGCAAAGTTGATGTAGATTTTCCATTCCTTTCCTAAGGGTAATAGTGGTTCTCTGCATTGAGCTGGCATTCAAAGCCAGACTGGCTAGCACTTCATGGTATGGCACCGCCAAGCCAAGTACAGCATCTGAATTGGCACAGAGTGTGCTCTGTGAGTCTTTCTGTGCCTTGCTTCTTTTTTACAAGGCTTTTTCTACTTGTGATGTGCTACTAAAAGTCTCCACCTGAAGACAGGTTTTTTTTTTCCTTCAGGGTGGGCACACTCTTAATTTTGAAAGTTGAAATAATAACATAGAGTTGTTATCTTTGCTTTTTCCTTTATAATTTCAGCTCATGCTCAAACATTGAAAAACTAAGATTCAGATCCCTACTCTGCTGATGGAGAGCTCAACCCCACCTTCTCCACATTCTAGATAAATCCTTTCTCTACCAGGCTACTTTGGGTTCAGATGCTCCTTCCTTCTATTTCTGGAGTTGTGGCACTATACAATTCTGCCATTTGTTCGTTTGTCTGCATGACTCGTAGCCCCATGGTTAGATTACCTTTTCAGAGAAGGGAGATGTGGATTTGAGCCTCCATCAGGTTCGGGACAAAAGATGGACTAAGTCCCAGGTCCTGGTGAGTGTCCTAGCATTTGTATAATTTGACACAGAGTGGGTGATACTGTCATCTTTGCCTTTGGAGGTACATAAAGAAAAATTACAAAGTCTGTTTGCTATTTTTATGGAACCTCACTTTATTGCAATTTGTCTTATTTTTACATCAAGTACTGGATTGGGATCTTTGTGGAGGTGAAGCAGATGAGAGGTATCAGGTTATGGTTGGTGTGACCCTTGGGATATGTATGTTAGGTCAATCCTCATAAAGCAAATTAAAACCAAACAAGAAGGAATTGGCAAGTCTGTGTGATTTTGGGGGTAGGGTACATAAAGCAGACTTGCTCTTGCAGTGTTGGATACAGAGCCACATATTCATTCTCAACACTACTTCCACCCCAGGCCCTTTTAGGTAGAAAGAAAACAGATCAGCTCTGGAGGAAGTGTTCTGTTGTTCTTTCTCTTCACATGCACATCTCCGGTGTGTCTGTGGCACTTGGCACATTGTAGTCTGTCATCATTCCACAACTTGGCTTCCTGTGGTGTGAAATCATTAGCTGATTTAGGCTTGTCAGGATTGGCTCTGCCTCGTGGTGCAGTGGGAAGACATTCCTGTAGAGATGAGTTCAAAAGCAGTGCTGCCACCTAGACAGCAGATGCCACATCAAGTGGCACTGGCAAATTAGGACACAGACTTTTCTCTCCTCTGACCATCTTAGCAAAACTTTCAAGGTATCTCTATTATATTGTCAATTTCTTGTGAATCTTTCTGGAAACAAAATTTGCTTGGGGGCCCCTACATTCCTTAAATTTGTGTATTCTATACGTTGTTGTCATAAGTTCTTATATGGGTGTGGCAGTTTAATGAAGATGTGGTGAGGAGGCAATGGGCGAAACATTTATTTCAAAAGGCAATAAGAAATGCTGTAAGATGATCTCCTGTCTTTCATTAGATTCTAGTGTGTTATTTATCAGTGAAAATGCCATTGCAGAACGGGTTCACACAGGAAATGAAACTTCAGCAAAAATAGAGGGCAGATAAAATCAACATTCAATTCAGCTCACTCTGTGTAAACGGAAAATATCCATATCATTTTGAACTCAGGGACATGCAAAATCTTTGCTGGTTTAGGGTTTAAATTAACACCTATCTAAAACAGCTGTTAATATGCTTTAGTGGTTCCATGTACTAAAACTAAATTTATCTTCTAATTAAATGAGATAGTCAAAACCTAGCATTTAATCTATCTTAATGAATTCCTAAAGAAGGGATAGTGTTTATTAGCCTCTTTTGACTTTGTTGTATTAAGAATGATAAAGGAAAGGAATTTAAAACTGGTGAGTCTAAATGAGTTTTTTTTCATTTACAAGTGCAATTGTAATAATCCTTATTTATTTCAAAGTAATTTTGAAGGTGATAGAAACAAGTTTTTAACCTTGGCAATTGGATAATCTCAAAAAGGGGTAATGGTATAAAATTACCACTCCCTCCTCCAACACAAAGCAATTATTAAAATTTGTCAACCTGACATCTTGGGATTTTATCTGACTTCTTGCTGCAGAGGCAGTGAACCTTACCAGAAAATTCAAATTAATAAAGAGGGCTTATTTTTGCTACCGAACTTGATGGTCAGCTGTCTACAGATAGAAAATCCATTTGAAAAGATTATAAAGTATGGTGATTTAGAAGATGTGCACTTATTCCTTTCCTTTCAGCTTGATTAGCCTTTTATGCCTCACAATAGTTTGTCTAAAAGAATTGGCAAGTTTGAGGGAGTTTACTCAGCATTTTGAATTTATAACAAAAGCCCACAACATGGAAAGCCCATCTTGGTTTGCTGCAATGCCAACAGCTCTCAAAGCCATGAAATATAGTTGACCATGATACAAAGGAACAAAAAATCTTGAATCCTGAACATATTGAACACATCTGCAAACACTGAGCAATATAAAAAAAGAAAATCACTGGACTTTTAATGTCAAAAATCTGATGGGAGGAACCTATTTCTCCTCTCTCAACAGCACATCCATTCACTCCATCTGCTTTCCTCCCTACTCAAATCAGCATTACTGTTCTACGGGGTATAAGCTGTTTTTCACCTCTCTGAGTCTCTTGGCTCTTCCACAAGTGTTATTAATGTTGGGAGTCATGCTGATTTCATCCCATTCCTAGTAGTAAACACCACAGATTTTGTCTCATCAACACAGGGCTATCCCTGTACTTGTAAATATAGCAGTGCCAGGAACCTTCCTTCAATCCTCTCTGGCCAGCTGGCATGGTCTAGTCTTGTTCTTACAACTGAAGGCTCATAAACAAGTTTGCTACATCCCAGCTAACTATTGGGAAATAGTGCATGGCTTTTCTAACTCTGGGCCTAAGCTGAGGATCTGTTTGGGAACCGGCCAGGGCCTCATACCAGGGACTGTTTCACTTTTTTAACAACAGAGAAGGCAAAATCACAATGTCAGCGTCGGTCTGCCAGTATAGACATAACCAGGTGGATTTCTTTTTAAGATCTTCCTGCATCTCTTTCTGGATCCATAGTCTTCTGGAGCTGGTGGGAAACCTTCTTGTGGGGAACCTTCATCTCTCTGCTCCCAGCCCAGGAAGTAGCACTAAAAGCACAGGGGGGACCCCTTAAAAAATATTTCTTCAGTATCCTTGTCCTGACTGTGGAAAAGGAAGAGAAGTCTGACTTTTGTTGTACAGGGACAGTGTTACTTCTTTTCTACAGACAGTGTCTTTATTGTCTGTCCCTTTTGGGAAGTCAAAAATTTAAAATTTCTCAGGGGTCAGAGTCTGAAAATTTTTCAGAAGGGAAAACAGCACAGCACAGCAAAGAAGTTAATTTTTAGAAGATTCATTTCAACTAACACCTTTGACAATCTGGTAAAATCTTACATGTTTCGTAGTAAAAGATACTATTTATTTATTTCAGAAAAAGCAGGTTAACAGCCTGATATTTCCAACCCAATGCAAAGAGAGCATTATGAGAGCTGAGGCAGCACTTAAGTCCCACACAAATCTGACTCCCTGAGATTTATTTCTGTAAACTGTCAGCCACAAACTCCAAATAATGAAACTGAAGTGCAAAAAAAAAAAAAAAAAAAAAATTCCTCTATTACAGAATATCTTGCATAATATTAAGCCTCAAAGATTTCCATTTCTAATTTTATCGTAGCTTTTTTTTTTTTTTTACTTTTTGTCACACAGCAAGAAGGGCAGAGCTGCCACATCCTTGCATCTTGTGATGTGGTATGTAAGTCAGCTGAGTCCTAGTGTGAAAAAGAAAACAAAGCATTTCTAGTTTGCCCCAAACACTTCTTTTAATTGTACATTTAATTCATCATGGGCCTGTCAGATTTCAGACAACGGAATAAACAGGCTTTCAGAGATGCTGATGGCTCCAAGCATGACTTTTTTTTTTTTTTATATTGAAACAGTTTTTAGTTCCGTTTGTTTGCTACACAGTATTTTCCTCAGTGTTGTTTTTATGCTGAACTGAGACTTGGCACTGTTTTCCATTGGAATGTTACACTGTCATGTAAGGTCAAAAGGGAAAATGCCACTCGGTGTTTCCCAGTGATTGTACACATGTAACATTTCCTTTCATTGAACTCAGCTTTTATTTCTGAGAATAACTGTTATTTTAGCTTGCATCACTGCAGATATTATTAGTCATAAACCTATGCAGCTATTTGTCTTATGTTCAATAGTCAAAGAAATCCTTCCTTCCTTCCTTCCTTCCTTCCTTCCTTCCTTCCTTCCTTCGAAAATTCATTCTTTTATCTGTAAGCTCTTTACAGATACAA